CTCGCACGAGCAACGGCTTGAGCGACTTCATTACTCTGCTTCTGCCGCCGCTCTGCCCATAACTGGTCTTCATCACCAGGGTCTTGTATTTTTGAGTCTATGCGATCATTTTCAATACTGGTCCGGTTATTATTAGTCTTGTTGCTGACTTTCACAGTAGGAGTTGAAGACTCACCGTCTGAGAAGTCTAACTTTTGGCTGAAATTGAAAGTTTTTAAATGAGAACACTCAATTCCAAACAATTGATTACTAAATATATACAGGGTGACTGGTGAATTACTATCAATATTTAAGGAGAATACTCGGTACATGATTCTCATTCAAATTATGTAAAAAAAATAGGTACTTAATTTTTGACCCAATTTCCGTATAAATAAATAAAGTGTGGACACGTTCCAAGTGTTCCAAGTGTGGACGCGTGCGGCGGCGTGCTGATACAACACCACGCCGCCGCACGCGTGTGTGTATACCTAATCTGTAGGGTGTTCACACGATGCGTAATTAATTACATAACTTTTGGTTAACTTTACTTAGAAGTTTATTAATATTTATGTTATATTAATTTTTATTTTGTCATATATGATCGTCAAATGTCACGTTCTCAAGTATCGATAGTAATTCACCAGTCACCCTGTATATAACTCACTCATAGTCTATGTCGTCATGTTGCGCCCATCCAGCATCACGAGATATATCATCAAGAGAAGATATCTGTTCTTCGCGTAGAATGGGTCTCGCCGTTAAAACCTCAACGGCTCGAGGTGTAGCGGACGGTCGCTGGGATTGCCTTGGACCAGCCATGTTACTATTGGAATTACCGCTTCCGCCACCGCTAATGTTTCTAGAATCACGAAGTGATGTCAATGTTCCCAAGCCCAATCCTGTGCCATTGCTACCTTTCATCAGCTGGAAATTAATATTAAGTTGATTAATTTTCATTATTACATAATATAATATGTATATGTGTTTTCTACATACGAAGGGTGGCAGAATAGCACGGAAAGCGGGTGTTTGCTGTGAAGCGGGCGTGGAGGCGGGCGCGGCGACGGTGGACGATGTAGTTTCTTGCCGAACGCCGGCCGTGCCACCGCACGTCCAACTGCCTTCCGCTACGTAATAAACATAATTATGAATTTGTTAAATGTATCATATATTACATGCATACAATTTGTTAAGATCACAAGATAAAATTCTCCCTTCAAGGACAAATGAAAAGCATCATAGTCAGCTCTTGAGCCAAAAAATAAGACTATTAATAAATCAGTGAAAACATTGAACTGTTTTATACAAGTATGTATAAAATCATTTATATATTGGTCACCATTTAAAAACATTTGTTCTAATGAGTTTCAATATTTCTACATGACATAACACCAATCACACTAATATTATAATTACGAAAGTTTGTGAGTGTGTTACTTCTTCACCCTCAAATGGCTGTGCCGATTTTGATAAAATTTTGTATACAGGAAACTGACGTCCAATAATAACACATAGGCTACTTTACATCCCGGAAATCAGCGGGTAACACCGCGGGTCGCAGCTAGTTAAATATAATAAAAATAATTGACTTACTACGCTTTATAAAAACGTGAATAAATTACTTATAAGAACTTACTTTGTGGTCTGAGCTGCGTTTGAGGCACAGTGTGATCTGTGGAACGATGTGAAGGTTGTGCAGCAGCCTCTAGTGAAGGAAACTCTGTGCGAAAATGAGGTGAGGAGGGAGGAGGGAGGGCCACCCATCCTGATGCAGCGGCACTGCTGCTTGAAGTTGTGGTCTGAAGAATTAAGGTACTTTATAACAAAAATATATAAACATCCCTAAAATATGCATTGTTCATTAATAACTGTACTATACTGATTTGTGTTGAGAAAATATATAAACATCCATAAAATATATGTTTATTAATAACTGTACCATTCTGTTGTAAAATATGCTTTAGTATAATAAAAAACAGCATTCAAAATCAGAGTGCTATTTAATAAGACAATTGCAGACACAAATTTACATAATGTATGAATATAAAAATTCCTAATTAAAATTTGTATTAGATAATAAAACCATAATATACTCACTATAGTCTGAGATGTGCATGTTGCTTGAGTAGTAGCAGGAGTAGTTACAGTAGATACAGTACTAAAAACAAAAATTATAGACATAAATCGCTAAATAAATATTAAAATATTATTTACATAATATTATTAATGTGAGCATTCTTCGTTAGCATACCCTAGAACTATGAAGCTTGAATATTTAATAACCCTTGCTTTGCGAAACAATCTTCACTAAACGAATTCTATCAAGCATGTAACATCTGGCCACAATACAACTTTTAAAGGTGACTTGTATTTGCTTTTGCAAATTAGTAATTATATTTAAAGATATCTTTATAAATTTTATGTCATGCATAGTTTTAAAACAGGCACTACTTATATATCTGAAACTTACTTAGCGTTAGGATCCTGGCCAGTTTCTGTTTTTAAAGAAGGCAGGTTTGCTGGCGGTCGTCTAGCTGAAGGTACTTTTCCAAGACTTTGCATTCCATGTTTACGGCTAAGTTGAGATTTCACTGATGACGGTTCAGAGCTTTCATTCTACAAAATAAATCATATAAATAATATTTGTAACGTATATAACAGGTAAAAACATTTATCAAACAAAATTACACATACATACAATCTCAAATTATATTATTAAGATATAAGAAATAAAATCAAAAGAAAATCAACACGAGTATCAAATAATGAAGTACTTACTTTTGTACTTTTTTCAATAATTATCTAGAAAGTAAAACATGAACAAGGTTATTTTATAGGTCAATGACCTCAAATGAACAAAGAAAATGACAAATTTAAATGACTAATAAAACTATATCTATTATTTAAGGGGTCTTGAAGTTAGGAAGTGCTCAATGTCAGCTGAACCTTTAGTCACTAAGAATGGTTGTTGAAGGTAGTGACCTTGTCTTGTCAATGCATCACGGTTTACCAGCTGCTTTACACTTTGTTGTATGTACATAATGGGAAATGTTCATCATGACTAATATATTGGGCAAGAATAAGTTCATTAGTGTTACCTTACAAAGTATAAAATAAAATTCAAAGAACTAATAGCAATTGTGTACACATATGCACAGTTACTTAAACAAAATAGCACTCATTTAAATGTTTGTGCAGAATGCAAATGGTGTTTTTCAAAGATTTTTCTGAGGTACCTACCCTATTAGCGCAGTACAGACTATTGATGTCCAATTTCTGATATTTTTGCTTCCCGGACGTCGGCTTGCTCTGCGCCGTAGTGCCTCCGCCGCCCGGCGTCGAGAGTGCAGACATGCTGCGATGTACACACCATCAGGACACCCTCGCACCGACCACCAACTGCAACCAGTGTGATTTACTACACTACGGGAACAAACTCTCAAAGTACACTATCACAAAGACTGTCCTTCAACAGCAATGGACGCTTTTAACTATTATGTACACTACACAATCCCCAATAACATGTAAATGTAGCATTCACACATAATCTAGATCACTCTGGTGCAACACTTTCACAACACTTGGTAATTTAGTTTTTTGCCCTGCCCTCCGAAGTATATTGACGTGTTACATCCGTAGGCTGAACGGACGCTGGATCGATGATTCCCTAATTTTCTCCATAATAGTATATAACACTTAAATAACTGTTAAATTTTGCCTACTATGCTGATGCATATCGGCTACAACAAAATACAAGGGAAGAAACGGTAAATAACAATAATTTTCACAGTTTGCAAAGAGAATAGAATTAAAATAGACTGGTACCTTGGTCCGTTACACCTGGTAAAATTATAATATAATAATCTAAGCTCAAATGCTAATATATAAAAGAAGATGACTTCAGATTTTTTCTAAATTCTACTCTACCAAAACTTATATCACTTTATTTTAAGATGGCGTCTCCAAAAGACGATCTCCTTTACAATCAATAGCGTGACGTCACAAAGACGCATCTCAGCGCTATCTGGAGGAAAACATTGTCAAACTTCTGAAGCTGCGTTCAAATAAAAGAAAATAAGAGTAAAACTTTTTTTTTTTTAAACTAATAAATAAAAATATTTATAACAATTAAAACATTAAGAATGGAAAATATATATCGAATTTGATAAATTATAGGTGAATATTTTAGTTATAAAAAAACACATGTTAATAATACATAGTACATATTATATTATAACAAATAAAAATTAACAGTTAGTGCAAGAACTATACAAATACCTATCATAGTCACATATTAAAATGGTACCAATCAAATCGTAAAATTGTATTTTTAAATTAGTAATAATTGATATGCAGTTTCTTTTTTTTAATTATAAAATGAAAAAGGGAAAGTCGATTGCAGTTTATTTTTATTAACTAATAGTGATAGAGAGGAGTTTATTTTGAACCAATCTTTCTAAGTTACATTTCGTTATACGTACCAAACAAAAAAACACGATTTAGTTTATTATAAATATAAAATATATTTATGCTCAACACTTATGAAACAAAAATATTTCATGTAACAAAACTTAGCTATGTTAGTTTTAGTATTACTTCAAAATATTAAATAACATGTTATGTATTACTATATAAATTTAATAAATTATTATTTTATATCGACGTTAAAGTGTTATGCCTTATTGAATAAGTAATTTTTCTGGATGTTAGTCATAATTATACACCTTAATTTGATAGATAATTTAAATACGTATATGAAAGAAAATATCTTTTCTGTTTGTGGAAATAATATTATTGTTATCGTTTAACATATTCAGTAAAACAAAGACATAGTCTTATTCAATATCAGCTCTACGTGAGGTAGCTATTCTAGTAGATGCCACAGCTTATTTACGCTTGCGCAGTTTAAATTTGTGTTATATTGATGAAAGAAAATCAGTAAGTAAGGATCGACGTAGAACTGTACAACGAACGACGGAGAACCATATAACGAGGGGTGTTGGAGAAAACCGGCAGCCATGTCGGGTAATTTAGGAATGGAACAATTGATCCCAATTGTGAATAAGCTTCAAGATGCTTTTACACAATTGGGGGTTCATATGCAACTTGATCTACCACAAATTGCTGTGGTGGGTGGACAATCAGCAGGCAAAAGCTCCGTACTAGAAAATTTTGTTGGCAGGTAAGTGCGTTTTAAGAACAATATTATATAAGAATAGTTAAGGGTTAAAATTTGAAAAAAAAAAAATTAACTGTTCAATTATATATCATAAAAATTATATAATTGAACAGTGAAGTTAATTTTAGATTTGAAAATCATTAAACGTAAATGTATATTCTATAATATTTAAAACAAATGTTTACAACGTTTCTGTGTAGAATATCTAAAGTGCATTAGTAATTTTCTTAAATATTATTTTTATAACATTCATTTATTAAAGAAAGGAATTCCTAAAATAATAGTATTTAATGTCATAATATTGTCGTATAAATGTCCTATATTTACTGCGCATGTCACACAGTATTGATCTCTCAAAACTGAATGGTTGTTTTTGTAATAATTTAATCATTATTTTAACAATTACATAATCATTATTTATTTAAATAGAAGAAATCATGATTATTTATTAAAAATCAAAAACCTTAACCACTTTCTTTGAGAAAGAAAACGAATCGTCAATACAATTCAAGTATTGATAAAGCAATGACAATATTTATTTTGTAATGGTTTGAGAATTATTGCAAGAAACGGAACGTTGCGTTACCATAACCACCCACCAACCACCATATTGAAAAATAAATTAGTTTATTGATGATGTGAAGTATAGACGATGAGCGATCAGTGATCTTTAGTGTTAAAATTCATGTATATTAAAAAAAATGGCAGGAAATTTTGGAATGCAACAATTAATTCCCATTGTAAACAAATTGCAAGATGCATTTGTGCAAATGGGCGTGCACATGTCTTTAGATCTGCCACAAATTGCAGTAGTGGGTGGTCAATCCGCTGGAAAAAGTTCTGTGCTAGAAAATTTTGTCGGCAGGTGAGCGTTTAATTTAAAAGTAACGAAACAAACAAGTTATACGGCTATCGTTAGAAGCATTCGTAGGACAATCCCATACCGTTTACAGGGCGCATATTTGTGTAAAACCTTTATTGTCTTTGTTAGTAGTTATATTTAAATATTGTTATTGCAATATTTTTAATAGGGTGCATTAAAATTTATGTGAGGAAGTGTCTAAAATATCCTATATTTTTTAATTAAACTACAGGAAATTTATGAAATCTACGTTGTTATACGTTTTTATCATTTTGTGCCGAAAATGTTATAAGAATAGTCTTATTAGTTACACTATAGGTAAAACTTCGAGATTACTTATTTTACATTTGTAACATAACTTTTTGGGAAATATATGTATCAGACGCAGCAAAAAATCACAAATCATAATATCATGGCAGTTAATACTTAACTATACTTAACTTCAGCCCAAGATGTTGGATTCAATTTGTTCATGACGACATAATTTTATATCTTTGTTTAATGTTATATACATATATGGTATATTAAAAAATATATAATAGACACAACTTCTGAATACCCTAATATTTGTTACAGGGATTTCTTGCCTAGAGGTTCTGGTATTGTTACAAGAAGGCCACTTATCTTGCAGTTAATAAATAGTAATGCAGGTAAATGTATTGAAAATGTTTATATATTATAAAAAAATCTATATAATTAATAACAAAGTAATTTAAGCTACATTCATTTTAAAAGAATGTACAATACAAACTTTTATCACTTTATTAAAAACGACAAGGACTTAACATTTTATCTTTGAATTATTTGTAGATATTTATTTTTTAATTTATATTTTAAGTTTTATTTACTGTTATGTAAATTGTTATATTAAAAGTAAAAAACAAACATCGCAAGTAAATATTTAACCTTCAGTTATTATTGGTATTAATTGCTCTTGACCATTACGTTAATAACTCTCATCCTCTGTTTTTGGTTATTTACTTATATAATTGCCTTATGTGAGGAACACAATTCTGTTTAAATCATTATGTCAAAAAAATTACTACATGACTTATAGCAACAAAATACATAATGATTGTTAGTACAAATGTTGCCTCAAGTTAAAACAGCTGTTCTCTCTTATATATCAAGGACACAATTATATAAATACAACTCATTTTTCTAACTAGTCTGTCTTCTATGTACAGAATATGCTGAATTCCTACACTGCAAAGGTAAAAAGTTTACCGATTTCAATGAAGTGCGTGGTGAGATTGAAGCCGAGACGGATCGCATCACAGGCTCTAATAAGGGAATTTCACCAGTTCCCATTAACCTGAGAGTCTACTCACCAAATGGTAAGTTATAACGTTCAATCATATATACATATATAGAGAAGCCGAGGATATAGTAAATGATATTTGAACAGTGCTTTGATGAAAAAGTCACAAATATTCTTTTTAATATGACATAATTGGAATTAACATAGTATTTTATAGTACATGATTGTGTTTGAAAATGAGTTTGGTCAATCAGACATACTTAACACTCATGAATGATAGAATGTTAAATATGTTTTCTCTACATAATACAATGTTCTATTAAGGTGAATTTTTGTAGTGAATCTATATACATATTGGGTAATGCATGCTAGCTAGAAATGTGTCCTTAATAATTAGACCTTTAAAAATATTGAAAGGACTATAAAACTTCGTATTGTAATGGTGTGAATATAAAATATGTTATTTAATTAATATATAATTCTCACTAAAGTCATTTAGTTAAGTCAAAATTGAAATTACATGTCTGTAAAACTCCTAGCAGATAGCTGTATGTTAATGATAGCAAATTAGATGTAAATTTGAACTGATATCAGCGGCTTGTCCTGTTGAATTTCCCTTTATTAATCGGGTTTGTGTGTCACCGACTCATTGACATTTGCCCTTTATCATATACAGTGTAAACTCTATATAACGACACTCGGTTTAACGACAAACTCTCTAAAGCGTCGAAATCATAAGACTTTGGTTGGTTTCGCTTGTCTACCATACATTGATACACTCTACATAGCGACACTCCCACTCTCAATAACGACAACAATTAAGTAATAAAAAGTACCTTTTAAGTTGCAAAAATTAGTAAAAACTGTGCAGCTGTGTACGTTCCTTTGTCGCTTTGTTATCCTAGCCCGCAATAAACTCGACTGTCCCTATCATGCATACCAAACTTTCTAAGAAATTCGTTCTTTTGTTTACAATTACAAATTGATTACACGTGTCGACGGTTTTTGACCATAAGTAGGAGTCTTGTATTACCTATACGTTAACATAAAAAGTTGCTCACAAAATCTCAAACTATAACATTCTTTTTTATGTACATAAGTACTAACACTAGTCTGAAATAAACTTTGTCTTTTTCTAATTCTGATTTTTCTTCTTTCTATTTAACGGCAACTCTCTATAACGCACTAAAATGCACGGTCCCTTCAGTGTCGTTATATAGAGTTTACACTGTAATTGACATAATTGTGAAATGAATTTCTGAACTTGGCAAGAAGTCATAACCTTTAATAAATGATTGTCACCGCAACTTAAAGTATTTATAACTGTACATGGTTTAACAAACATCACTCACATACTGAGTTAATGAACTCGGTTGTAGAGTCATAAAAATTTTATTAATAGAAATTATGATAATTTTTATAGCGGAATTACTTTCTGACATAAATGGGAAATTTGCTTAAATTTGTGGTGCTCATTTTGTAGACTTCTGGTAAGTTTATTTTTCACACTAAATTATTTCAATAAAATGCTCATGTTCACCACTTTGCCTTGAGACAAGATAAGCCCGTAAGTCAGGAAGGATATTTGCCGTCAATGCATTTCTTGTTTAGAATAAAATAACTTGTATGTTGACTAAACATGTAGCAGTTTTGGCTATTAAGAACTCCAATAAATTTCCTAAAGTGGAGTATCATATAAGTTCAAGGAAGGTTAAGAATAATCCAGTCATTACAATCAATATAATATATTTGCATATCCATACATACAATATTGCTCCTTTAGCTTTTTAGTTTTTAGTTCCCAATTATGAACTACATCCAAGCTTTAAGGAAATTCCTGATTCTCTCTGTCAGAACCAAGACTATTTGTTTTATCTACACTGCGTTCTGCGTAACTCGCCCAATGATTAACATACAGAAATAGTTTCGAGGTAGATTTTATATAGACCTTGTGATGTAGTAGTGGTGAAGAGTACAGAGGTCATAAATCTCAAAGAAAAGTAATTTTCTCTATCTCCAATGTAAACTGAGGGGGATTGTGCCTTTACTATTAAATACCGTACTAACATATAGAAAGTTCCAATGATATTATCAGAAATACGAGAATATTTACATCAGAAAAAGTTAAACTTTTAAGTGTTAGGGCGAAATACATGGAAAGAAAATAAATTTCGAGGCCATCTCGGAAATAAATGTCTATAAAGCTCTAATAAACTGGAAGTATTTAATAAAAGCACTTGACTTCATTCTGCCAAGATTAATTCTATTTCCCATCTATGTGGGGTTATTACATATTATTTCTCATTTATGGTTCTGGATTTATAATTCTCTGCAGTAACTTGGCCCAATATGACTGTGAATAGTACGAAGTAATAATGTCATATAAATGTTTTATTACTTAATATTTCCAAGTTTTATGTACATCCTAGAAGAGTCTAATGGTTTTTCTTTCACATTGGAAATACAGAATCTTACACAAATCGATTGTGAAGGTTTTCCGTGTAGGAAAAAGTATGACGACGCATTCGTCTGTCATTTCCGCTCATTTTTCGCACGTACTTAGGGGATTGGAAAAAATATTCTAGAAACTTCGAACAAAAAAATCTCGTTTATTTCCAAAAGTATTTTTGTCAAATTAACAGTTCCAAGTGTTTTAACTATGGAAGTGATGCAATCTATGATGCTGTGCTGTTGATACGATAAACAATGAATCACTATTGAAAATGTCTTAGACAATTTATTGTTTATATAGTGCTTGTATTTTATAAACGATTCTTATAAACATATTGGTTTTAATCTTAATTGATAATATCATTTAGCTGTCTAGTTCTGTATGAGTGTCGATAATGATTGTACGTTCTAGATGCTATCGTTATATTGTTTACTAGCTAATGCCTGCGGATTTGCCTGCTTATTAAAATCCCTCTGTAATACTATGCGCTACTCTAATCACTTCATGGTTTGGTTAAAATGGACCTTAGGACAGGGTCTTTTCAATAAAATAATATTAAAACCAGCCTTCTATTGAAGGAGTTATAGATTGCAAACCATTTAGTTTATCTGCGAACTTTCTTTTTGAAGTGAATTAAAAAGTAGCCTAAGTACCTCTTTAAGATATTAATACATATTACCTACATCCCGTGTTCCCGAATTCCGTGTAATTCCCGACGATATTTAAAGAATTCCAGTTTTGATGTAGATATCATATAAAGTATAAACATTATTATTCGTTTAGTGAAAATTTGTTTATTTGAAATTACAAACAGACATTTAAATAACATTCATCAGAATAGATGTTTACAAATATTATAAAGGAAGTGTATATTATAATGATAAAAATCAAAGTATACTAATTAAGAAGAATTACGAAAAGGTTTTCGCAATAATGTACACACGTATGTGATTATGGTTAATTGCAAGATTTCTAATGTTTTTGTTTTAATTCTAAAATAGAAAATTCTTATGGTTCAGCGAATAGAGCGTTTCGATTATATGAGTTCTTCGTCTGAATGAAATATTTGGTTATGGAAGAAAAAATTACAATATTTTCTTCATTATTAAGTGAGATATGCTAATGTTCTCGAACGCGTTTAGAACAGTAATGAATAATCAAATGGATTTCTTCTGACGCGACTAATCTCATTATATCTTATCACTCCCTTATCAGTCTTCATATATTAATAGTTTATACTTCATCAAACATCTACATCTGTAAACATTACTCGGACAAATAAATTTCGTAATTGATATACGTATGAACGGTTAGTCATTAAGCGTATATACATATAAATATATATTTTTTATGTAAACAAGTAATTTAAATCCTTTTATATAAAACCTTTTCCAAAGTCAGTGGTGGCCTAGTGGTTACAGGCCCGCCTCTCATGGACGAGAGCGCGGGTTCGATCCTGGCAAGTACCAATGTGATTTTTCCGAGTCATATGTACTTTCTAATAGTATTTAGACATCACTGATTAATGCATTCCCAAAGAGGGTTGATGTCAGACAAGCGGCCGGTCGTAAAAACAATTAGCCAATAACTATTTACAAAATTTAAGGCAGACCCTGGCTAAAAGCTAGGAAATGGCCAGGTTGAGGAAGATATAAAACCTTTTCCAATTTATTATGTATTATAACTATATGTAATAATATGATTGTATGTCATTAGCCAAAAAAATATTCTTGTACGAGAAAGTTTGTTAGGATTCATTAGTAATAATCATTCGTTCTACTCAGTACTCACTATAAAATGAATGAATGATTATGAATGAATTGATACGCTGTGAACCGGATTTGGAAATGGGAACTGGCATGAATTAATTCAGAATGTAGTGATTATATTTTCAACGAGTGTATATGAATCATTAAGTATGACAATTAATAATATCTAACATTGTTATACTATTTAAGTTAAATCCTATTAAACAATTATGCAAATGAACTAAACGATTTATAAGAATTCTCATCCGTTCCAGTACTGATAACTATTATTGTTGAATAAAAATTATTTAAAAGAATACACTGAATTGTTTTATGCGTAATAAAAATATAAACATTTCTTTATCAAGTTTTTTTTATCTTCGTGACATAAAAAAAGATTGTTGTATTGTACGATGACTGATAAAACACTGGATTCAGTAACATTAATACGAGTTCATACTACGTACGTTACGTTTCCCGTTTCTCATTCAATAAAATACGATGATAATATAGTGCACGATGTTTTATGAATGAAAAATACTGTTAACGCTGCGTATGTAGTGTGACCACGCAAACTAAGATTAGTCATACATTTTATCATTTATAAAATTTACCCAATTTAATTACAAACGTTTTCGTGACGATACGAAAGTACATATTGTAATTTTTTTTGTGTTTACAGGAAATTATTTTTATATCAAATACGAAAATACCTTAGATAAACAATGTCTCTACCGTTTATATGTAATAAATTAGTAACAAGATTATTACGAGTACATATTTAAATATATTAATGAGATATAACAGCTTCATTATTATCGTATTATAATAATAAATATATAACAATATGAATTTTTTAATCCCCAGTCTAATGTTAGACCAGTGTAAATATTAACATAAATTTTTCAAAGTCCATTCGCCGATACATTTCTTACGTCTTGAGTTTATTTCTCTCGGTGAGGTCAAAGCACTCTTTGATAAATGTTTTGGTAACAATACGTAGCGGTTCTATCATCTGACTCAGCGCGTCCTTCATTTGCGTCCGATCTTTATTCCGATATTTAAGGTCATTACCGAATATATTGACTTGGGCACATTAATATTAATTTCTTGTATATGATTTATTATATTGATATAAAAATATCTTTAATATATTGTTTATTCCTAAACTTGTTCTTTACGTATTTGTTTTAATATTCAGTACAGTGTGCCTAGTCTGAATTTGTATGGGCACCCTGCATACCGAGAATTAATAGTTTTTCATTCATAAATCTTCTCAAATTAGGTTATTGAATGACCATAACGTTTCGTGTGAAGTGTGACGATGCAAATGAATGTTAAGCATATATGTATAATCGTTTTTATAGCTTTGTCGAATTAGTTTCAATATCTGGCACAAATTGATTATTTATCAAATGTTGCCTTATACTATCATATATCTTAAATATTCGGAAGTTTGTTGAACACTGTTATAGATATTTTTTTAATACACTAACCTTATATGCGTCATACACATGTGTTAAGCAATGTATCTGTTTTTTGATATTATCTCAAACACAGTAGCTTTATTTTTTAAAGGTTGATATGATGACTCATTGTTTCAATGAAATAGGTCCCGAAATATTTTGTTATATCTAAACGTGATAAATCTTTTGTTATAAGGAATAAACCCATTCACCAGTAAATCAAATCTCCATAATGTTAACGTATTTTTCGAACTTGAAAATAGGCATGGAAAAAGCGATAATACACAAGGATTTTAAAAAAATAATCCTGACTATTTAATATTTTAGGACAATTAAATTTTATAAATATTCTATAGACGCGCTTATATTAGGTAAGTAAAAGAAAATTTGTTTGTATTACAGTATTGAACTTGACGTTGATCGACTTGCCTGGCCTGACGAAGGTGCCCATCGGAGACCAGCCGCCGGACATCGAGCAACAGATCAAAGCGATGATCTTCCAGTTCATAAGACGCGAGTCCTGCCTCATCCTAGCTGTGACGCCAGCCAACACCGACCTGGCGAACAGCGATGCCCTCAAACTTGCCAAAGAAGTTGACCCACAGGGTACTAACTTTTTTGATCATTAAAGACTTTCTAATTTATTAATTATACCACTTATAAAGACTGCTGTAATCATAATCGTCGCTATATATTTGTAATCGTCAACTGCTTGACTTAGATCTTCTTTGACTTATACGATAGGACTTTGACCTTTTGAATCCATCAAGATTTCCCTACACTATTTAGATTCACGCTACACCTCGTATTTGGTCTTTACATACTACTCTTAAATGTACGAATATAACCAAATTAAAAATTTAAACCAATATAAGGCTACTCGTTGTAGGTCTGCGTACTATCGGTGTGATAACTAAGCTTGATCTCATGGACGAGGGTACCGATGCACGAGATGTACTTGAAAACAAGCTGCTGCCTCTGAGGCGAGGGTACATCGGTGTTGTGAACAGGTCGCAGAAGGATATCGACGGCCGCAAGGATATATCTGCAGCACTCGCCGCTGAAAGGAAGTTCTTCCTCAGGTGAGCTAAGGAGATTTCATTGGCCATGTTTTGCTTATAATGGACTACTTTTATTTAAACCATAAAGATTTAAGCTTATATTTGAATGTACTAACAAAAATTCAAAAAAATAATATAATGTAATCTAACAATATAAGTAACTCTATAGTATTTTAATCGTTATAATAATTCCAGCCATCCCTCCTACCGCCACATCGCCGACCGGCTCGGTACTCCCTACCTCCAGCGGGTGTTGAACCAACAGCTCACAAACCACATCAGGGACACTCTGCCAGGGTTGAGGGACAAGCTGCAGAAACAATTACTGACACTGGAGAAGGATGTAGATCAGTACAAACACTTCCGACCAGATGATCCATCTATCAAGACAAAGGCTATGTTGCAGTAAGTGGATTTAAGATTATATTAAAACTAGCTGCGCCCCGCGGTGCTACCCGCGGATTTTCGGGAATTCCTTGATTTTCGGGTTGTAAAGTAGCCTATGTGTTATTCCTGGACGTCAGCTTCCTGTACACGAAATTTTATCAAAATCAGTTCAGCCGTTTGAGCGTGAAGAAGTAACAAACATACACACACACTCACAAACTTTCGCAATTATAATATGTATTAGTAGGATGTATGATACATGGAAAACAAATTGTCTAGTTATTGTTGAAACATTGTATATACTATGTATATAGGTTTCTGGAAGATTTAGAAGAGTTCTTCAAACATAAATTTTTCTTTGCAAAGAGTTAATCCATATTGTCCATGTTATAATTTATCTTCAAAACTTAATCGAAATTTCTTCCTTTTCGTTTACTCATGAATGGTTTTTTGAGCATTGTAATCATTAATTTCGTTCTGCACCTTTCAGAATGATCCAACAGCTTCAGACGGACTTCGAGAGGACCATCGAAGGTTCTGGTTCAGCTCAGATCAATACTAATGAGTTGTCAGGTGGAGCGAAAATCAACAGATTGTTTCACGAGAGGTTCCCCTTTGAAATTGTTAAGATGGAATTTGACGAGAAGGAACTACGCCGCGAGATCGCATTCGCTATTAGGAATATACATGGTATAAGAGTAAGTAAACTACTTAATTTTCCACATTAACTTATATATTAATTTATAAATATATTAAATGGTTTTGCAAATTTGTTATAGGTTGGTCTCTTCACACCTGACATGGCGTTTGAGGCTATAGTAAAGAAACAGATCGCAAGACTAAAAGAACCCAGCCTCAAGTGTGTAGATCTTGTCGTTCAAGAGTTATCGAATGTGGTTCGCTTTTGCACTGAAAGGGTACGTTTAATTATACGTATATGACTTATAACAGCATTATGAGTATTTTTTCTAATGTAATGCAATAGTTATTGGATACTTTATATAAGGATAGCAATCCTAAATGACATTTCTTGTAACAAGTTAACAACCCCAGTCACAATTATCATGTTATAAATAGAAAAATTGCAATTTTTTGAAGGCTTCATCTGTCCTTATCGAACTTGTTGTCATATAAACGTGAATATATCTATCTCTGTCGCACTAATAGTAAGTTATATCTTCTGTCTCTGCCAAGATGTCCCGCTACCCGCGTCTTCGCGAGGAGACTGAACGCATCATCATGTCTCACGTACGTTCTCGTGAGCAGCAGTGCAAGGAACAGCTTGTGTTGTTGATCGACTGCGAACTCGCATACATGAACACTAATCACGAGGACTTCATAGGATTCGCCAAGTGAGTACTGCCATAATGATATCTTAGACTTCCGCGAGCACACTATTAAATAAAACTATGCTAATACCGTGATTATGGTTGCTGAAAAGTAAATAAAAAGTTTGGTTTTACTTAAAATATCAATAATAACCGAAAAAATGCATAGTTTTGTTTAAGAGTTCTCCCATAGTTCCCTTTAATATAGTGTATGGTCTGTACAGAGATGTAAGATTATAATCATTTTATTACATGAGGGCCAAGGATGAATGGTAATTACATTTTGCAAAATAATTATTTCTTTTTATGCTAAGTCTAGGCTAGGACATTGAATTTAATGTTTGGATGGTTTTGCAAGCTATTAATTTTTTAATTTATTTTAGTGCTCAAAATCAATCTGAAAATTCAGCTAAATCAGGTCATCGCGCGCTCGGTAACCAGGTTATTAGGAAAGGTTACATGTGCATTCACAATTTGGGAATTATGAAAGGTATGTCCCACTGATTGATTGTCAATGGTTCATGACATAATATTTGATATAATCATCAAGATACCTACACTAAAATAATATGTAAAGTATAAGGATTTTAATTGATATTTTAAAAACTATTATTAATTTTCCAGGAGGTTCCCGCGACTACTGGTTCGTGTTGACGTCAGAGAGTATCTCGTGGTATAAGGATGAAGAGGAACGTGAGAAGAAATATATGCTGCCGCTTGACGGACTCAAGTTGAGGGATCTTGAACAAGGGTTCATGTCCAGACGACACATGTTCGCACTCTTCAACCCCGAGGGGCGAAATGTTTATAAGGTGACCTACGAACTTATATACTACTAGCTTTCGGCGGAAGGCGGCTTTCACAGCTTCGCCCGCGTGGATTTCGGTTATATCGCGTTTCCAAGAGAACCTTTCAAAAGTCTGGGATAAAAAACTATCCTATGTTTTTTCTCAATGTCAACTCTATCTCTGTACCAAATTTCATTAAAATCAGTTCAGTGGTTTAGGCGTGAAAGCGTAACAGACACACAGGTAGAGTTACTTTCGTATTTATAATATAAGTAGGGATTATAAGTGTCTCCAAACATCGAAATTAATCAATCGATTAAACCAAGCCAAAAATTACAAAATTGAACCTGTTTCTTTCTTTCTGAGGAACAAAAGTTCTTGATAGAGGTCTAGATATACCTATTAGGAACTATGCAAATAATCTAATTCCCTTGTGGAATTTTTCTACAATGTCGATTTTATAATTATTATATTAATATTTATTATAATTTCCATGTTGGCTTCAGGAGAAGATGAAAAGTTTATCATAATCTTTTAAAGATAATTTCAAAAGACCTAATTACTGCTAATTTAACGATAATATTGAGTTAGATCATAGGGTAGTAATACATATATTCCATTAACATTTTTTTTTGTTGTGTTATAGGACTATAAGCAGCTAGAACTTTCATGTGAAAATCAAGACGACGTTGACTCGTGGAAGGCTTCGTTCTTAAGGGCCGGTGTGTATCCTGAGAAGACTTCGGAGGCAGCCAACGGAGATGAGGTCTGTATAAATTGGTTTTTCTTCTAGAGTTGCCTGTTTTTCGTCTTTATCCTCTGTCGTATCTCCTATCTTTGTTTTGTTTTATATTTTTTTTTACTTTAACTTTCAAACCTATAGCATAGTATTGCTTTATAATAATTATTATACAGAAAAAATATATAAATAATATTTATTATGTATTTGTATAAACATATTTTTATTGTTTATGATATCACTGATTATTTATTGTTGCCATGCCGTACAGAGCGAAGGAAACGAGGTTTGTCCATGGAGGATTATTAAAATCGTCTCATAAATCATCGTCACTTCCATATATCTTAGCAGTATATAGAAGACATTATATATATTATTAATGTTTTCTTGAATATTAATAAAAATCTGGTGTAGCATGAGGCATGTAGTGTACTAATTGTTAATTGTGTTGCAACTGTCATATATAATCATTAATGATTTTTGTTCATAATAAATGTTTAACAGTGTGTGTTTTAACAAGTTTGATATTCACAGATGTGTGTTTTTATGGCTTAAGTCACTCGCACACGCTAATGCTTTCTATAACATCGTTAAATTTAGCTTTAATAGTGAAAAAGATTTTTGGGAGTTACATTTTATAAATTGTTTCGATTTAGAACAAGTGATATATATATTTTTTTGGTTATTGTTTAAGCGTTGTGTTTATTTTTATTTTTTTTAGTTATTTCCGCCTTTTCCGGGGTTGGGTGGAAATAAGAAAGTAAGTCAAGAAAAATTTCCAAGCTTGTGTGCTGGATTTTAAATTTGTATATAGGTAATGTGATGGATTTTATTGAACGTGCAATAACGCATGTGGGTTTTATGAAAATAATTAGCTTATATTTAGGAGGCGGCAGTGTGATCCAATTTTTTTTATAGTTTAGGTATTATATAAATCTTAAAGGGGGTCCATTTTACTAATTGCACTCTATGGTGAGTATTTTCTAACACAAATAGTTAGATGGTGGTCCTAGGAAGCTCTGCAGGCTAGATTAAAAAAAAATAATGCATGTTTAAAATAATAACAAAATTAATTAAATAAATAAAAATAACATTTGGCTGATCTAAAGCTTCACATAATGTCATTATCATAATTTTTTTAACTAGATGGTGTATAAATTAGAGCTGAAATGCTTTTATAATTTGAATAGACACGATCTCACTATAATACAAACAAAATGCCAGGCATTCTTAACATTCAATACATTTTTCTTATGAGAATACAAAAATTCTTGGAAGATTAACATACACATAGTATTTAAACATATTAGTGTATAAACTTAAAAAACAACAGTGGTTGACTAATGAACCGTGGGGTCCTTATATTTATGACTATATAAGATGATGGTAATTTAATATTGAGATGTAAGTGCATCTAACCAGATTGAAAAAAAAAAGCTAGAAATTCATCTCATACTTCTATATTTATTACATTAGGAATTAAAATATAAAATTCTCATTAATTGAGATACTAACAGATTACACATCTAATAGAAAAATGGTGGTAATAATATTACAAATTTAAAATGCGTGCAAGTGAAAAACTAATTACAATTGATACTATTCATTTATCAATAAAAAAACATTTTAGCAGATAACACTAACATACTCAATGACTTACAAATATACCAGTATTGATTCGTTTTCAACACCAAATATACATGTATGATGTTCAAGCGCTATAAACATAATATATGACATATTATATATATATGTTAATACAATGAAATGTATTCCAGAGTTCTGATACATCGGTGACAAGCAGTATGGATCCTCAGCTGGAGCGGCAGGTTGAGACGATTCGAAACCTGGTTGACTCTTACATGCGTATAGTGACCAAGACAACCCGCGACCTGGTCCCCAAGACTATCATGCTGATGATCATCAACAACGCCAAGGACTTCATCAATGGGGAGCTATTGGCACATTTGTATGCCTCCGGAGATCAGGTAATACTGGTTCTTGGATAACATATAGTAATTATCTAATAAAAAGATAAAATATATATGGAATTTCATGAAAATCAGTTTGAGAGAAGTTTTTGGAAAAGAGAATTAGTGGTAGTTTTGTTACATTTCAAATTATTTATCCTTTACTTTGTAATAATTTTAGAAAGAAAACATTTTTGCCAACCTCAGTCATCCTATAACGAATTTGTAGTTTTAGGTTATGATATTACACATTATATAATTTCTCTATAGTCTTTGTTACTACATATTGAATAAGCTCTGTATATAAAAGATCTAGATCATATAAAGTATCTAGAGTTATTTTAGAATTATAATTTAAAAGTGATGTGTTTAGTTAACAAAGTTAGTCGTTACTGAATAATTATATGTAAAACCCTAATAACGCCTTCCTACATTGCCTGTATTACTATTATTCGTTCTATTAGACCATCTCCTAAAACACGACACTTAAAATCCGTTTCCCACCAGTCCCAAATGATGGAAGAATCGCCCGAGGAGGCCTTGAAGCGAGAGGAGATGCTGCGGATGTACCACGCGTGCAAGGAGGCGCTCCACATCATAGGCGACGTGTCTATGGCCACCGTGAGCACCCCCGTGCCGCCGCCCGTCAAGAACGACTGGCTCGAGAGCAGGCTGGACTCGAACCCGAGACTGTCCCCGCCGTCACCGGGCGGACCCAGGAGAGCTGCGCCTGCGCAACAAGGTTCATATAGATCACTAGAGTTTAGGTCTTATCAGACTGGGATCTTAACAGACTGGGTCTGAACTACTGGAGTTTTAACTGACTTTTTAGTGTCAAAAAGATATTTGCACAAGCTTTTAAAGAAAACTCTCATCACGTCTTCTCATTATTAAGGTCATTGAATAGTAATTGGAACTTGGGTTTAATAATTCAATAATGTTAATTAAATTCTTAAAATATAGTTAGATTTCAAGGAAAATATAAACAATAACACATATTATAGTGGCCAGTCTGCTTCTTCCTGGCAACCTCCTAGCTTCAGCCAGGGTCAGCCTATTATAGTGGCCCAGTGATATTACGTACATATTATATATAACCTCTTTGTCCCCAGGTTCTCTCGGCCAGCGCGGCGCCCCCCCAGTCCCCGGCGGTGGCGCGGGCCGGCCCGCTCCCCCCCTACCGTCCCGACCAGGAGGCGCCGCCCCCCCGCCGCCCGCCGCCAGGCCTGTACCCGGACAGGGCCTGCCCGCGCCGCTCATACCCACGTGAGTACACACACACTCATACAATTGTATATACTATAACACATACAAATTATGTTATATATACCAGCAAAAACAGATATAAGTTACATATATTACAATCAAATACATAGTTTTCACTTATATATACGGCGACTCAGAAGATAATTTAATAAATGTATATTATATGTACAATTGTATGTGCTCTTGCTATATACACGTATTATAAGCTTCGCTTTGGTTATATATAATGTTTCGAGGGTGATGTAACAGCCATAACCTCAATTCCTATGGGCCTGGTGTTTGTGTATAACAATCTGTTAATAACAATATACCTTTGCTAATATTATATATGTATTAAATATGTATGTATTGGCGAAGGTAGCAAAAGTTGTATGGTTGTTCGCAGACGGCGTTAAGCGAGCAGACCCGGATGATAGACATAAGTTATAAACTTGAGGTACTAACAAGAGCATGTTGACTTAGTACAACTTAACACTCATATGTTTTGGTTTTATATCACATAAATATATGCCATACTTATTTATATATAATGTTGATATTTAACGGCCATTATAACATGGACTCTGAGTTGTATATTAGATGATTGGTTATATATATATGTAATAATGTCGCTTCCGATTTATATATAACACAGAAATATTTTGGATTATTTTTATGGAAATATTCTTGTTGCTTAACGGCAATGTGAGATACTTGTACATTTGATTTATTTTTTCTAATTTTCATTCTATACACATTGTTTGCAATCGCAAGGTTGTGTAAACATCGAAGGGCCTTTAGAAAATTATTTATATTAGAATTTTATTGTACTATACCAGTTTCTATGAATATTTTGATAGTTTTATTATCAATGATGTATATTAGCTGATGCTTGATGAATATTTTCTGTTGTTTTTTCGTTCTCGTGGTCAGTTTTTGTAATACACCATACTTGTATTAAAGCACTGCATGACTCGTTCAACTAATGTCTGTGTGTGGTCTTCTCTAAGCTTATGTTACTTATATGATCTATATTGTTTTAAGCTACGTCTTTGTAAATCTATGAACTCTGTGTAATCTCTATTGTTATATATCTTCAACTGAATATTGTATACCTTTTATTCACAGTTGCCCTGTAAGATTGTTTGATTGTGTTATGGCGGTTACATTATCCGATTGAGACTTACAGAGAAGCTGTGAGAGTATATCTTTTACTGTCTAGGGTTCCGTACTTATTTTTATTGTGTAACATTTATTACACCTACATATCAATATTGACTCTTCTAATGTACTTTCCGTGTCTTAGATAGCATTATTTAATATTAAATTATAAAAAAGGTAAGGAACCCTCGAAGTTAGTTTTTTATTACCAATTTGGTAGGTAATTGATCTAAAGAGGTAATAATAATAGGCGTCCCGGTTCCGGCGGCGGTGTGGTCGGCCAGCTGCCTCCACACATGAGACAGCAGATCAACCAGGCTGTCGGACAAGCGGTCACCAACGCTGCCATCAGCGAACTGAGCTCCGCCTTCGCTAAGTTCAAGTAAACTACAGATTATATACGGCTGTCATAACAACAGACTATATAGAGCTGTCATAACAACAGATTGTGTAAAGCTGTCATAACCACAGACTATATAAAGCTGTCATAACCACAGATTATATAGAGCTGTCATAACAACAATATGTAAAGCTGTCATAACCATAGATTATACGAGGCTGTAATAACCACAGATTGTGAGAGATTGTAACTTCACGCGTGCACACATCACATAAAAGTTCTATAATGAAACATTTGAAAGTGCATACATTTTTTATTAAATGCACAAATTAGACAATAATATGTATAACTTATTGGTGATTAATACATATCTTTTTTAAACATTTTATTTTTGTTAAATTGTTGAAAAATTTCTCAAGGAGACGTGCACTTGTGAAGTCGCTTTAGTTAATTTCTAACATTGTATCGTCCTAGATCTAACAGCTTTGTGTTGTGACACAAAATTTAATATCCCTTGATGTGTACATAACCTACATAATATTCTTTTAATATATAAAAATTAACAATTAATTTTGTCTCTCCGACCAATACATGTATGATATAGCAGAAACATTGTATGAAATTATGTTAAGTGTTTAAATTTAAGTTTTATTAGATAGTTTTATTAATGTGAAAATTTAAAAAAAAATGTTACCATAATTATGTATTTAATATTCCGTTAGTAGAAGATCACACACGATGTTACAGCTCCGGTCAGATGTCATTTGTTTGGTGTAGGCCCTAGGGATGATCACCTTGAATTCTGATAGTGACACGTTTGGTAATAGTGACGTAGATTATGTATATGACACTGACCTAGCTGTTTGTATGAGTAAATTGTCTGCACATTATAATGCAAAACTAGATTACGTGTCTATAATAATAAATATTAATATATTAAGACTCCACCGGCGCCAAAACTAACAGTCTATACGTTTAGGAATTGTGAAGAAATTCAGTATTAACTGCGTATTATAATGCAGTGCTTTAAAATATTTCAAATTATACGATCTCGGTCCGTATACATCGGACTGTATGTAAAAAAAAATAAAATATATTTAATTTGGAAATAAAAATGTAAGGCGGCTTAAGGATAGTTTGTATATTGGGTGAATTTAATTGTTGCGCGAGTTATCAGGATAGCATCGGACGAAGCATATCAAGATTTGTTTTATTTATGTTTTGTAAAGCAACCGTTTTATAATATGTAACTTTTAATATAATCTGTTGATGTACGCACTCTACTGTATGTAGTTTTAGATGCGTAGATATGCAAAATAAAATGTTCTCACCGAATCTAGGTGTTCCGTAGCTTAGGGACTTAATATACAGAGTCCCCGGTAGATAAATAATGTTGTGCATTTAATCTGATATATAAATAATAGCTTACCCGTTGATGTGTCACAAATGGAAAACATTATGAAGTTATAGGTGTTGGATTTTAATGAGATTGTATGTAAAATTATGTATGTACTTATAGAAGCGGAGACCAAAGTCGTCTGTGTTATTGCTGCTAGCAATATCTTTGGTCAATTACTAGGATGATTCAATATTGCATTGTTATATAAAAAAAATAATCGTTGAATTAATCGATTTTTGAATCTTGATATACATATATATAACGTGTAGTATTTTTCGCTTGTCATTCTATACTTATCCGTTTAGTACTCGGTACTTGAATAGATTTCAGACTTACTTCGACTTCTAGCTGTGTTTAGAGTGGGTGACGTCATTGTTAACAGTTCCTACAATTTTACCGCTCTAGCTGACCGTTCGTCGCGCCAATGTTAACGAGATTATATGATAATTATATCATAAAAGGTTTTTTGCTCTCTTGTTAATAGAGTTTTAGTACCATCGAAATGATATAGGAACACATTGTTGGATTTGATATAGTTTATTGATATTGTTAATCTTATGCTGTATAAATAGATTAATTAAATGCTATACGTGTATATGATGCTTTTGATTTTATCCCGTTGTCATAGATGTTGATCAAAGTATGTAGCTTCGTCCTTTTAACATACTAATATGCGACTGGACGTGGACTAGGTAAGAGAAATGTTTTTATTAATTACTATATTATACTTAAATAGGATGTTGAAACATTTTCATTTTTTTTCACACAAACATTACTAAACAATAGTGGTAGTGAGGCCGTTTGAGAGAAAACTTGAGGTTAATTTGAAAATGACATTTCGTTTATTGTTATGTCATTTTGAAAATGACATTCCACTTATTATTATGTCATTTTCAAAATAGATTAAATTTATGAAGTTATTTGAATAAAATTATTAACAATTTGAACACCCATATAATGGTTATATTGTTGTTTTTAACCTAACCTTTGTTATTTCGAAGTATACGTGTCCACGGGAAGATAAGTGAAATGAATTGTATTAAATAATAAAAAAGAGATAATTACGAAAATATAGTTTTTATATATATACATATCGTCTACCGTGGATTGCCCCGTTAAGTACATGTACGAATTCACTAGTAAACAGATCTTATTGAAGTATACTTACGCCGAGTGCTATTTAATGACAAGGTGTGATAGAACAAAAAAAAATACTCACCTCATATTTGTATTGCTTATGTATAACATATCTGCAACTCCATATATGCTTGCATTTTATTTATTTATTATATATTTTATGTGCCAGCGTATATGTTATTTTTATGTCACTGTTTTTATATTTATTTTGCTTACACCCAATCTGCTTTACATGTCATAAATGTTACATGTATTATATTTTATTGTATATTTGTTAATTAATATAGTGTTATGTCAATAGCCGCCCGGTACCAACCGTGCCGCCGAAGCTGCCCGAGCGACCGCAGAACGGACGGCCATTTTGAAAACATCGCCGACATTTTGTTGAGCTACAATGTAAATATTATGTAACTGGCTATATCTCGTTCTTAATATACACGACAAGCTTGGTTAATAAATTATTTATGTTTATTTAAATCATAAATTAAGATTGTTTTAAGTAGCGAACTTAACAAATTTTCCTTTTAAAACTGCGTCATCTCTGGGCAGCATATAACTATGTGTTAGTTTAATACCTCTTGTATATATTTTACATTTTAATAAGTGACGAAAATTTTTCTTAAATATGTCGAGATTGTAGAGATAATATGAAATTGTGATAGTTAGGAAGGTGCTTTTTAAATTATTTTTTTTTGTTTAGCGCCTTCTTGGAAGTGAAATGTTTCTAATGTGGCATTTAATTAATTCTGTTGCGTGACAGTGACCGTGAATATCAGAAAAATGATGATAAAAAATTGATTTGTTTCCAATTTATGTAACTCAATTTTTCTTATGACTTGTAACCCGAAATTAGAACACTATATATTTCATAAAAGTATCCATACATTCCTTATAAAGTTCACGCGACAGTGAAGTGTACCTTTGATTATTGTATATATCTAGATGTAATAAAATGTGGACCTGTTTATAAAGTGTACTTGTGTATACAAACTGTAATAAATGTGTATATAAATTATTATTATTGGCTTTTACTCATATATTACCATACGAGAAGAAGAAGTTTGGCTTATTATTGGTCAAGTTTAAGCATAAGTCAGGTCATTCCGGCCTATTATTATTTTTTCTATAAAAGTATCTTATCTTCTCCCAAATAGGAATTAATGGGGTAGTGAATCTTATATTCCCAATAATTACATACAATAATGATTGTTTATTGAAGATTATTTTTTTATTTCATAGAAAAAGTACCTACATCTATTAATGTTGACATACTTTTAAGTACGAAAGTTCCGGTTTCGATTAAACGAATTACATTAATAAAAATAAACCATAAAGATATAATATTAAAATATTAATTACTTTTAATTCAACATCGGTTTTCATTAAAACCGTTTTTACCGATCTCAGATTTCTACAAAGGTACATTAAAACCGACACGCCCCATACGGTGAAAGACAAAAAGTGACCATTATTACAATTTAATGAAGAGAAGGCTATTAGGTTGGCTTTGATTAAATCGTCGGTCAGCGATTGTTTGTCTCTGGCCCTGCCGCTGTCGCATCACAGGGGCTTAATCTCACCAGCACGATTCTGATTACACGTGATTGTTGTATCAATCAATTCTTTTATTAAATTATTCAGTTGCCCGTTATTCTATCGCCTTTAAATCGTATCTTAATGGCCGTAGTCAGGACGGAAGGGTTTGTGATTATGTTTAACTACTTTAACTTTAGCTCCGCTCTTTTGATTGATAGTAGCGAGACGAATGTTAAAATATCTAATTGAAAATAATAGACAATATGATATAATACAAGCGGACATGGCCGGTGCACTTTATAAAATTTTCACATCTGGCAATATTATATGTCATGAGTATGTCAGTTTGACATAAATACATATGTATCAAAATATATTTTTTGTCATGTCTTCTTATAGTTCATACTTAATACGTATCCACTTATGATAATATAATGTACTTCTGAGTGTAATAAAATTGTTACTGTTATTATATACTGTTTGCATTTAAATCTATGATAATGCAACTGAAATAATATTTATTCAGAGCATAACTTTTTCATAATAATTAAACATTTACGTACAATTAAAGGAAAAGAATGATTGTAATCAGGTTATTTGATACTTAAATGAATATCAAGTATCTCTTCTATCGAACATAACATATGTATATGTCATGTCTATATTTTATTAAATGACAGTACAAAATTAGATTCACTAATGGCCAGATGGTTTGTTTTTGTAATCACCGGGTATTATATTTCGCACACTTTTTAAATTCCTAGTAAAAGTAGGCTAGATATCCTGTATTTCAAACGATCTACTTCCTGGTGTGAGGTTAATAAAGCTAATAGGTGTAATTTTGTATATAAATCATTGGGCACATTCCCCCTATCGCTACTAGTAACCGAGCTATTTAGCATGCAAATGTAACAGCTTGCAATTACAATTAAGTTTTAAGTTATATTGATATAATAGATTATTACGAATACCACTACACATTAATTTTAATGTATTTAAACTGCTTATTAGCATGAAGTACGAAATTTAATCTTGTAGCTAATATTTACATGCTTAAATATACATAAAAGGACTCACGCTATAAAATATCGATAGACTTGATATATGTAAATAACATAATATGTAAATATTCTTGCGAATAGTGCTGTAGCCATAAAAAGACGATATTTATGAGATAAAACTGTTAGAACTTATCTAATGTAAATGGGACAATAAACAAATCTTGATATTTAGTTAAGGAAATTTATGTTAATAAGTTTGAGCTATAATAAAGTTATTTTAACAAGAATATCCTTATTTCTAAATATACAGCGCTCGGTAATAACTAATAATACACTTACGAGCCGATTTTTAGTTAACTAAATCAGATCCATTATTACGTAGTAAATTACAAGAATGTCTTAAAATATGTATTTAATTAGCTGGGACAAGCGTGTGATACTTGTATTACCGGAACAAGAATATGCCCGGTGTTATAATTAAACAGTTGTCTAAATTAATTAGCAATAGGTGAGTTCCCACAAGTTACTAAGTCACCCTCGCCCGCGGCGACCGCTTAAAATTCTCCCAACAATTAAAGTGCGAAGTCCACACACACAAACACATTAGACATGCACACATCTATACTAATTACAGCCGCTTTTTACGATAGTGTCAATCATAATTCATATCTAGTAGGCTGTGGTATATTTGATTTAAGTTTTTAATATCTCCAACATTATTAGATATCGTCTAAGTGGTCTGTCGCCTAAATTTCGTTTGTAACAGTTATGGACATGTGTTAACGTAAAATGAAACGAGCTGGGAAATATCTATAGCTATATATTTATATTTGAATAGCTACACACTTAAAGCCGATAGAATTATTCTATTTCAGTCTTAAACATTATAATCGAAAAACTTTTCAGTCGATAGTCATCACTAGCTGAAAATTACACTTTCTTGCTTTGTTTGCTTTGTTACAGATCCGTATCGCTCTCGATCAAGCTGTGAGCAATCCAAAGTTTTAATATTCAGAAGGCCCTGAAGTTTAGTAATTGTATATAATTCTTGACATAATGACACCCAAAACCGTAATTTGAAAACTTACAAAGTGATTACATTGTAAATTGTGATTTAATGTTTTCGCTCCGAGCGTACGGAATGTCTAGTGTATACCTACACTATACAGTAAATTCGAATGACAATGTAACTATAATCGGTTAACATTAATATAATATGAAACTTGATTATGCACTGTGCCTGTGGTATCGTAAAATCATCAATTATAGGCTTAAAATAAAGAAGAGCAGGCGGTTATTGCAATGACTAGTGAACAATTTAATATTCGAGAGCGTTTTAACTTTTTGTAAAGTGCAACACTTTCCCAGCCCCCATTGGAGGGTTCTTCAAAATGCTACTGCGTTTAGACAAATGAACAACGCTGAACCCTTGACGGCACACGCCATGTAACAACGATATACTGGCAGCTAAAAGAGATTACTGTTTTATATTAGGCCTTTACGAAACACTAAAAAATATCATACTTTTATCTCAATTAATAATTTTCAAAGGAATAACAGATAGTTTTTGTTAAAGCTAAAGTAAAAGAAATATTACGGCAATAAGTACATTACTATTTCTTTTCTTCTTTCTTATACATACACTTAAAAGTACGTATAGTTCTATAAAAGCGATAAAATAAATCCATATAAGAATTAATATACCCAAAGAGAACTAGCTACCATCTAGTTAAGCATGATTTCGTGTTAAACACAAAAGTTTTGCGGTACAATAGACCGTACACAATAAATCAATTGAAGTGGGTGGTTGACTTTTCACTCAAATGTGTGGTTAATTGTAACCGAAAATGACTGTTGATCGAGCCACACTTAATTTGAGTGGTTGGGGCTGTGGCGATAGGGTGGAAAGTAATGGGTCAGTTGATTTTATGATTGTTTGATATTTGTACGTATCTTGTACGCCGGAAATGGTGTAATTGTAATATAATGATTTTGTAATTAGTGTTTATTTTTTTAAAGTTAATTATTTTTATATTACTACTTGCCAGTATTTATTTTTATTATATTTAGTTATTAGTTATAATTGCTGTATATAAATACATGTTATATAAATTTTAAAAGTCGTTATATTGTCATTCTGGTTATATTTCTATAAATTTTACATCCTTATATGTGCGTGGAATAAATTGAACTATCTTTAAAAGAAAATAATTAACGAATTTAATTTCCTAAAGTGAATTAGTAGTTATTGATCAGATTGCTACGTATTAATAGTTATTTTTTCTTATAAATATTATTTTATAATACATTTAATATTTAACTTTATGTTTCAGTCTCCAAGAGTTCTATCCTTATTCCTTTCACCCTAACATTTGTTGTAAAGAGGGAAACTATATAATTGCTCATTTGCGTCATTTAACTTTGTGGAATATATAACAATACAAATAATGACGACCATTCTATGTTTTTTGTTTGTTTCAATTCGTTGCTACGCTACGAACAAATCTTTTTCATTTTGTTTAACATCTGTCTGTTCTAACAGCTGTATCTCAAAAACACATCATATAATTCTGTATAAGTATTTATTGTTTGAAATAAATATAAAGTTTCAAGTTAAATAATGTTGTTTTTAGTATATAATGTGTTTTATTCCTCAGGCCAGTACGTTTCTATCATTTTTTTCACTTTCTCGTCAAGCTTTTTCCCTTCAGGCGGTTGTTTGCCAAGAAGAAACACGAATTTCTCATGACAGTCTATCATACCGAGATATTGTCCTTCAATGATCTTCAGCCTCATCGGATAACGGTGGAATTCAGCTAGATCTAACTTCGCTGCAATTTTACACATCAACAGTTAAATGATATAAGTGTAGAAAGTACAATAATCTTATAGTTTGATGGAGAAAGTTAACTAAATTGAAAGTTTACTATATAATGTCGAAGTTAATGATTTTATACCTGACGCTGGTGGCATTTGTAGGGTCCTATAAGATCCGTTATTCTCCAGCCTCTCCAAGTAATAATCTCTGGTTTTATTGCTGTTTAAACTTTTGCAAGGTATTTCCATTTTAAGCGAAATTGTATCCCAGTTGAGATTTTCAACGTATTTACCGATGCGATCTTGTAACTTGTTTCTTTCCTGGGATAAATATGTAAGTAATGAAACTGACAAATGATCCATAAAATTGATGTAATGTTGAGTTAATTAAGGTTTTTATTCGAATTTTTCTCTCGATAAAGTTGTTAGTGAGACAAAATTATACATTTAAATGAAACTTATATTATTTGGATTACTACGCGTGTTTATTTTATAACTACATACTCTCGACGTTTCGGTTACTTTTTAACAACCGTGCTCACGGATCACGTAGTAATCCGGATAATATTAGTTTCATTTAAATGAATACTCGCGAAAGTCTTAGTCTTATCTCATCAACATAATATACGTGTATATGTTCTTATAATGTTTACCTGTTCATCGACTGGGATAAACTCAACACAGTGCGGGTCACCCGAGCCTTTTTCCTTCTCAGTTATAAAGTGCAGTAAGTGCCACGTGCCGATCGCCTCCGACTCATTGAATGTCACTCCTTGGGAGAAATTCTGGCAGTTCGGACCATTTGTTTTGTCGTGAGTTTTCGCGGTTATTACCGCTGTGTGTAGCAATGCTATGAAATCATTTAAAAAATTATGTATCATTTATTTAGACTCAGATTTTACTTCAATTTTACTTCTGTAAAATCGACATTGGACCTATTACTTCTTCTTGATTTATTATGTATAATAACATCTTCATCAAGAAATTAATGAAGGATAGATAAGATTACTTTTATTCTAGAAAGATAATCGAGAAACGAACTTACGCATGATGATATATTATCTTTAATGAAGACGAAGGTTAAACCTAATTTTCTAAATTGAAAGAGATCCAATACTAATTGGTTTTACTACGTAACTAATTAGGACTTACTATTGATATTAATAAGTCATTGGTGGCCTAGTGGTTAAAGGGTCCGCCTCTCGATGCCGAGGGCGTGGGTTCAAACCTGGCAAGTACCAATGTGATTTTTCGGAGTCATATGTACTTTCTGAGAGTATTTAGACATCACTGAGATACGGTGAAGGATAACGTCGTGAGGAAACCTGGACTTATAGTTTCACAATTATAAGTTTGAAATCACCAACCCGTCTTGAGCAAGCGTGGTGATTAATGCTCAAACCTTCTCCATGTGAGAAAGAGGCCTTTGCCCAGCAGTGGGCTCTGATAGGCTGATGATGATGATATTGATAACAACTTAAATAAACTAATAGGATATAATTACCAAAACACAGTAGCAGCATCAGCTTGGACATGTCGTCGTACAGCATGGACTGCGGTAATGAACTGAATGACTTGATTAGCTGTGTCCAAAGGATAACAGCATTAACAGCTCATTCTGAAGCTTGGACTATGGAGGAGGCAGTTTTATTCACGTTTTTGGCTTATTGCTTATCTGAAATTCACTGATTTCAAACAATAAAATTGTTGAATACTTCAGAAATATTGTATGTATATTAGTCCCTACACAAAATATAGACGTTAACATATTATTATTTATATTTTTTTGTCTATTTAAAAGTTTCCTAAGTCTTGATTGATGAAACGTTGAAAGAAAATATCAAAAATTTACGTCTATTTCTTGGACAATGAGTTAGTTTTGTCGCAAAATTATTTTTATACAAACGTTTTAAATGAGGAGACTAGTAGAAATGAAGTAATATGAATTGCGATCTATTAGCAAGTCTGAAAGTTCGTATCGCGTGTGACAAAAAATATTATTAATTCCTATATTATTCCTTCGTACTTTCAAAGACACTTAGGTCCTTGGTCCCAGAAGTAATATGGACTCACTTTTAGATAAAATTAAAACCCAAGCCACTTTCTGAATATCCAACAACTGGTATGATATGATGAAAAATATAATTGTGTTCTAGAAATATGCGTAGAATATCCAAAATTAGTTAATCTTTGTTAAAGCGTTGGATTGAAGACGGCACGGTAAACTGAATAATGTGTCGCGTCCTGTCTTTGCAATTGACGAAATTACTTGCCTCATATTATTAAATCACTAAGGATATAAATCCTATAATTTATAACTTAAAGAAATAATTTTTAATTATGTTATTCACCTATTATATGTTTGTCATGTGTTTGTAAACATAGTATACTTTTCATTACATGTAGTGTAGTCACCAATTTTAACGTATGTCGGTTATTATATCGAGTTACATACGATCAAGCCACAACTTTTTTTCACGTCCTGTGTGGTTAAACACTGAGCCCCACTCTTTGTCTTAAGAACTAAATGTGTTTAATTTTTACGACATTTTCATGTTAAACTGAAATGTGTTTTATTTCAAGGTGCTTGAGTCGTAATTAGTTTGTGTTTGTAATATAAAAGTAAGGAGTTGTGGTTTGCGACGCACGCGCTCCTTGTATTGATTGTTCAACATGTTTTATTGCTGGTTTCAGTTTAGCGCACCTGTCCCCTTTTGATTTAAAGCGTCTTTCCTCAATAAACATTACATAAAAAAGCAGCACTTCATACCTAATGATCGAAAGGAAGAGTAACGACATATTAATTCATTCATTATTTTTTTAACGTTCGTTTTTAAAAACATTGTACATTGAGGTCTTTAAAATTAACTATCATTAGTACATGTGCCAATAATATATACGTCTTTGAATTCAGTTAATATTACTATAACAATATGTACAAGGATAAGGCTTAAAATAGCAAAGAAAAGTTTCATTTTTTTAAAATTGAGATATCTATAAAAGGAGAAATATTAAACACCTCTATTTTCTCAAAATAACGTATTAAATCATTCTATACTCCCCGTCTTACATTGTATATATTTTAAATTTTGTTTATATTTCTGTATATTCGTCAGAGCTGAGTTGCTTTATGCGCGAGAGTTATCTGTGAGATTAGAGCGAGCCATACTTCAGCTGGATGGACGCCCACCTCACAACATGCCTCCACTCAAATATAACATAAATTAATAAAACTGTTCATGTCTTTATATGTTTATACTTAATAAAATAATTATTTTAATAGAATCGTGACGTTAAGAGCATTATAAATATTTTTATTCATCCTAAGTCACACGCAGGTGTTGCCATTTATTTCGCTGTATATTAATAAGTAAGATAATTTTAATTTGGTCGATTGTTCGCCGCACCTGTCTAGAGTATAGCCAAACGATATTTCATATTCCGTCATTACTAAACAACATTAGGCTAGCCTTTTGTTCTGACTCCGAGCCAGACATCCCGGTGCTTTTTTTAATTATTATCCGAATACATTAATGTAATCAAAGCTCGATACATCATACTCGCTATCGCCACGCCTCGGTTTGATTAATAATTCTAATGAGCGGCGGTGCCAAACGAGTTAATTAAGCATTCGTTTTTTATAAGATGCCACTGCGACCAGTAAACGGCACATCAATCACCGCTTTGAGTTCGCCGCAACCGCTAAACTTCTTAATGATTGAAATGCTTCGAAATCTGGAAAGACGAAGACTAAGAACTCTAACAAAAATCTATCTAGATCCTAATGAACTATACAAAGTATACTATAGTTACAGAATTGTAAATTGCGTATCCGTAAATACACAAAAATAACAGAACAAATGAACTTATTTAAATAAATACATAATTCTAATTGCATGTTATATAGTTCTCTTAGTTTATTTTCCTATGATATCAAAGATTAGAATTGAATCAGAGTAATAAATAAATGAATACAGTTTATCCAGTGGGAAGGTTGAAACATCAAACATTATCAATCACTGGCAGCATCGCCGCGAGCGGGATTGCTTTAATTTGATAAAACGCAATTAGCTACCAAAAAAATCTAATCTCAAGAGGCGGTAAAACTTTTTTGGCAGCATAATTTTTGGGATATGTTCCATTTTGATGGCTGATAGAATTTGAGAACAAAGACTATGCAAAACAATAAACTGAATAGACCGAAAATCGCGAAGTCGTACAATATAAAACTTATTTCATAGAAAATTATTGTTATTGTTGAAACTGGAATTATAAAAAAAAGTGTTTTGGATTACTAAAGTTTTTCGCTAACTTTTATCTAGCTTCGCTTTTTTGGGTTAGTTTTAATTGCAGTGGTGCAAATTAAATAATGGAATGATTCCATCTATTTCTCAATCGGACGGATTTGTAAAAGGCGCTGTTTTTTAAGTATTTTAGGCGAGTCATTCCGGTGGCAGTATCAAGTGGAACCCAGCGGGGTTCAGTGTCTAATTCACCGCGCTACCAACAGGTGGCAGCAGCACCGCTTTTCAAATCTGACAGACGCCATTGCCTTTACGTCAGAAAGCCGCGAATAAAATTAATGATGTTCGCGCCTTAATGACGTTTCACGACGCCGCTCCATTGTGTCCGTAATACAACAATTATTGAGATCATTTATTAAGTTTATTGATCTTTTAAGTTAATCTTTTATTTCGTAATTTAGCTCCGTGCGAGCGCGCGAACTCATGAAAAAAATATCTCATATGCGGAGTCATTTTTTGGACTATTTTTGTCATTATACGGCGTGATGTGAGCGGGTCTTTGAATGTAGAGGCAATTACTGCCCCGCATGTGGTTTGATTATGTACGACGGTTCCATTCCATCTGAGGCTATAAAACGCCGGTAAAAATATTACTAAAACCTTTGTAGATGGTTTAGCTTCCGTTGCCAAATTGATGATATTAAAAACCATTCTTACAATTTGCTTAATGGTTCCTCATATTGAAATATCATCAGACAGCAGTCAAATGATACAACCAATGATATATTCTTATATTTTTTATGTATATTGGAAAATGGGATAACTCTAAAGCATGACTAACAGCATCGTAAAAGCTTGTAATACAAGTTGTTATGAAAACTTGTATTTTGATGGCACTTCGGTAGTACGCGGATGCCTCGCGCATACTTAATTAGCAATGACGTTCCTTGCTCCTTTGACGCTTGGTAATCTCGGTGCTTTGCATCGATAGCAATTACCGAGTTCGCCGTATAAGCTCCTCTTATGAACTCCTGGTAGCTGCTCATTAAGACACTTATAATAAATGATGAACGGAGAACACGTCCAGCGAAATAATGTCTAACAACGGCATTATGTTTACGAACGTGATATAATTTGCACAACGAGGATCGATTTCGAAATAATTGCAAACTATTGTAATTTAAATCTAGGATTTTTAGATAAATACGTATCAGGTCAGATGCTTTGTCTTCCACAATTATTGGAAATAAGCGCAATTAGATGCAATCGTGTTGGAATTATTGTAATAACCAAAAAGAATCGATGTTCTAACGACCGCTGATAGCCGGCCGGCGATTGGAGCGAGCTTCACCAATGCGCGGGCGCACGACCGAGCATCGTTAGGCGATCCGCAGACGATAAGCTAATTATACAACATTGGCAAATATTGATTGCCATCATAATATTCTCCTCTATTTTTCAGATGGTAGCTTTGAAAGTCATTTAATCCCTTCGCAACCGATATGGTTTTAGTTATAGCGTTCCAGCCAGTCTTATAGTTCAGACCGAAAAAGTTTTCGTGGAATTTGATCGATTTAGCAGAAAGTTAGTACCATTAAATTTGTTTGTACTTTACATTAGTTCTAATTATTGTATGGGTTATGATAATTCGTTAAATTCGTAATTTACCTGTACAAAAAAAAATATATTGTATATGTTATTTTGTATCGGATAGAAATTAATGGAATAAAGATTTAATCCCTTTTAAGTATTTGTAGTCTTTAAGACATGGAATCCAGCCCTTCCTAAAAGAAACTCTTTAATTAGTATTCCGATTTCTGATATTAAGACATTTAATAACACTGTCTTATTTTATAAAACCTTTTATATCATGGGAATTATGAATGTTGCTCTCGTTTATGCTTCATGGTAGGTATCCTGCATGATTGTAATGACCAATACCTAGATTGTAGCCACGGCAGTCACGTACTATTGATAGTCTTGCATAGAACCATTTGTTTCATTTACTCGTACGTGTTTTATTCGAAGCCCGGTACTTGGGTATTAAATGCGCCATGTGATCCACTCATTATTTCCATATATAATAATTCTGTTGTTCCGCGTACACTATTATATTCAATTTTACAACAATGTATTGTGCGTCATGTTTAATATTATATCTAAATTAGAGGGTAATGATAAAACAATAAAATTATTAGTATTTATGTATACATTTTTGTATTGTAATATGATGAAAAATTTTGAACTCAACCAAAAATGTATGATATATATTATTTGGCATTTACCAAATAATCATCTATTAACAT